TGTTCCCTGCAGACTGGGTTGTAAATTGTGATGATAGGGATGTGTATGGGGGTGTTGTGGAGGAATCTCTCCTGCCATCCAAACTGATTTTGAAGCTAACAAAAAATTGTGCAAAGAAGACAACAGATACCCAACCAAGCTGCGTCCTCTGCCTAGCTCTGAGATGTCTTATCCTTCCCTGTGACACTATTTTATCATGTAATGCAGATGCCTATTCTCCTTGCCAGCAGTTTTGTGATTCTGGACAGGTTCTACTGAATGGTGGTGTCATCAATTTATTCAGACCTTCTGACCCATGACTAATTACACTTTGTTTTCTACAGTTTAGGGAAGATGGTGAAGTTACTCCTTAGCTTCCTAAAAGCCTCCAAGGAACGCTTCATTCTTCAACTCTGCTTAGGTATTTCATTTTTCCATGTCTTATTCTATGTGTCCATGTGAGATATTTTAAACCTTATCCAAGTATGACCTGGCAGTGCTGGGTTAATGGCTGGACTTGATGGTCTTAAAGGTCTCTTACAACTAGTGATTCCATGGTGTTTTCATTTGGATGAAGCTGATTATGTTGATACACATCCTCTGAAGTTCTTGCCCTTGCCTGAGATTTTAGGTGTATAGTTTAAGATTAAATTAAAAGAAATCTAGGTTAGCTTTACCCTTGGTTACTGGCTTATGATACTTTATAAATATGCTACCTGGTCAGTAATGAAAGATTCGATGAGTGCACTTTTATACTCCGATACAGTACAAACCACATCTGTAGATGGAATTTGAAGAAGAAAAAAAAATCCAAACAGAAAAGAAAAGCCTCAGTCTTGGCATCTGAAACAGAATTCCAACCCCTTCCCCCAGCTCCCCCAAGCTTCCCCTGGGCTGTCTGAGAACTAACAGATGCAAAGGGGTTACTTCTGAAAGCACAGCATTTCCTCCACAGCTGACACGGTGTGAAAATCCATCTGAAGCCCAGCAGACATACCCATGAGCAAGTCGCTCTGAGCTTTGCCAAGAATGATACATTTCACCATACTCTACTATGAAGAGAAAACCAGACCACCTACTGGCTGCATCACAGAGAAGCCCTCATCTCTCCAGACTGCAGTATTCCAATTAAACGTATCCCAAGACATCTATTTCAACTAGGAGCTTAATGAAGAGCCAAGTTAGCTTGTGTCTTCCCCTAGATGCATGGGATTTTTTATTTTCTTCTCCCCTGTCAGGTGGAGTGATTTTTTTCTTTGTTTCTGTGGCTGGCAAGTCAGAACTGAAAATCAATCTGCTATCTGATGTACTTTTGATGAAATTCAAAGCACTGTGTTTCTTGATTTATTTAGCATTGAAACATCCCCTGATTCTTGAGTTCTGTACCTCAGCCTCTGGCAGTTTCAGAGTGTAGCTGCCTTCTCTAGGACAGCTGTAAGCTAGGACAAGACCCTGTGCTAAGTTCAGATATGCCTCTGGTAAAGGATAGTCTGTCTCCAAATGACACTTTTGGGCTGCATATCTGTATTCCTTTAGTGATTTGCATGTCATGTTTATGTACTTAACTTGCCCAGATGCATGCTGGCTTTTTGTCTGCTTGTCTTTCTTGTGGTTACTGCTATCAGCATTTCCACTTCAGGATATAAGACTTGAGCAGCTTTCTGTTTGCTCCATGCATCATCACTGAAAGCAGACAGCAGATAACAGCTCATTTCAGCCAGTGCAATATTTGCCACCAGACGTTAAAGAAACGAGCAGACAAAAGGAAATGAAATTAGCTTTCCTGTGTTCCTCTCACAGACCCCACCAAATTCAACTGCAGAAACTGGAAAAGAATTCATACTAAAGCCTCTTGTCTAGACTAAGCAACTACGGCCTAAAGAAGACAAAAAGGAAAAGCTCAAATGAGTCTTTCTCGGCCCAACCCACAGCTTATTGGCCACATACTACTGGAATTAAAAACTTCTTTAACTCCAGGGACATCATGCTCACCCTGCAGATTCCCCCTGTGACCCCAGAAGAGCGACAGGCCAACTGCTGGGCCACCTCTCACCACCCAGCAAAGCCTCTGTGCGACCTGCAGGGCTGCCAAGGAGCCGTGGCTGCCCAGGCACGGTGTTTAGAGAGACACAACCTGCTGTGGCCCCTGGTCCTGCGTGGTTCTTGCAGTCCACAGGGAGGAACGGGCAGGAGGAGGCGGAGGAGAGGCTAACACGGTGCTGGTTTTTGAGCCCGTGTCCAGCAGCTGCCTGGTCATGAGGAACGTGGATCCAGGTGCACAGTGTGACCTTGGGCTCTGAGCCCCCTGGAGCCCCACGCACCGCGGCCATCTGCTGCACAGCGGGTCAGAAGGAGCTGGACCCCCATGCAAAATAATTACCCAGCTACTTGTCAAGTAAAGGCAGAAGAACCTCAGCTGCCGAGGCATTATCTTCTTGACTTTATCTGAGTAACGGGCTACTCTCCAAACCCTGGAAAGCACTGAACGTTTTAATTTACCATGAAAACAGGATCAACACCTAAGAGATACCTTACTGTTTAAAATATGAGCCTTTTTTTTTCCCTCTGAAAGACATGCAGCAGGCATAGGGTTGCAAGGTTAAGTTTTGGTCCAATTTATTATTTTTTTCTCAGAGAGCATTAGGCAAACTCACTGCTCTGTATATTCCACTATGAAATCCAAAACTCAGCTATATATAGAAGTATATGATCTGGAAAAACAGTGCAACCGAGCTTTCTGGAAGGTCTTGTTTTCAGGACAGCTGAATGGGGGAACATGTTATTCACCCTGATGTCCTGTCCCTGGAGGTAGTTGGAAAGTGAACCTCTCATAAAACACTCACATTGCTGCTGCTGTAACTCAGCAATCTCAGGGACGTAAAAGGGAGGTGATGGAATGGGGTGTTTCTGTTATGGGGTTGTGTCCAGAATCAATATGAAATGCATAGGTACTTTAAAAAAAAATCAACATAATTGTTTACACCCATGAGACTAAGTCATCCATAGTTTTACTGTAAGTGTTGGTAAGCTGTATTATTTTTCCTCATTTAGCCTCTTTATTTCTACATAAAATAGGATTTCTTTCAGGTTATTAATGGCTTTGTAACTCATTAAACATTAATAAAATGGACTGCTTCATCCTGTAAGCTAGAACAACAGTTCTCCCAACTAGAAAGACAAACAAATTGTTTGGACGTGATTTTGGCTTTTAATGACATCTGTGTTACCATTTCTGCATTGGCCAAAAATGAGAGAAGACTAATCCAGCTCTGGACATAGCTCTGCTTGGCAGGGTGTCAAGCAGGGACTCTTCAGAGGAAGGTGTAAACACTATACCTCAGGAAGATTTATGGTACTTCCCATCTGATCTTTCCTCAGTCTCCAAAGGCCTCTGCTCAGCTTAAAAGCCCACATCTTTACCATACTTCCCAAAGTTTGGTGAGTTCTCTCTTTGACAGCAGAGGATTTCAGCAAGGTCAAGTGCAAGGTCCTGCACATGGGTCAGGACAATCCCAAGCACAAATACAGGCTGGGCAGAAAATGGATTGAGAGCAGCCCTGGGGAGAAGGACTTGGGGGTGTTGGTTGACAAGAAGCTCAACATAACCCAGCAATGTGCATTTGCAGCCCAAAAGGCCAACTATGTCCTGGACTGCATCAAATGAAGTATGCCCAGAAGGCTGAGGGAACTGATTCTGCTGTTCTACTCTGCTCCTGTGAGACCCCATCTGGAGTACTGTGTTCAGCTCTGGGGCTCACAACATAAGCAGGACATAGGCCTGCTGGAGTGAGTCCAGAGAAGAGCCACAAAACCAATCAGAGGGCTAGAGCACCTCTGGTGTGAAGACAGGCTGAGAGAACTGGGGTTGTTCAGCCTGGAGAAGAGGCTCCAGGAAGACCTTATAGTGACCTTTCAGTACTTAAAGGGGACCTACAGGAAAGATGGGGAAGGATTCTTTATCAGGGACTCTAGTGACAGGACAATAGTTTTAAACCGGAAGAGAGTATATATAGATTAGATATTAGGAAGAATTTCTTCACTGTGAAGGTAGTGAGACATTGGCAAAGGTTGCCCAGAAAGGCCGTGGATGCCCCATCTCTGCAAGTGTTCAAGGCCAGGCTGGATGGGGCTTTGATCAACCTGGTCTAGGGGGAGGTGTTCTTGCCCACAGCAGGGGTGTTGGAACTTGTTATCTTCCAACCCGTTCTATGATCTTCCAACACATTCTATGATTTTACTACCCTACATACGTTGGTCTTTAGCTGAAAGCAATCCTCTTGAAAACGCACTTCATTGCATAACTCTGCAAGGTATGAAACAATCTCTTGTTCAGCTTTTAATTGCATCAACTTGTCCCTGAATCCTTGTTATTTCAGAAAGTGAGAACAGAAAATCCTAATCTGCTTTATTACATATTCACCTTTTCTTACATGCATTCTCAGGTTTAAGCAGTTTAAGCCCTGTTCATTTGCTTATTCAAACCCTGCAGCAAGAAAAACAGTTAAGCCTAATATCTGTCCTCTCCCATCATCTTTAAATTTGGGTGGACTTACCAGGTTGGAGGCTGCAGCCCTCATTAACATCACCCAACACAATGCACATGTCACGGAAAATGACACAGGAAAAGGTCATGGTGCTGTGCAATCTTCTAACACCTATCTAGGCTGAATCTGAACTTGCTCGAATTAAAACAAACCTCTTTCATTTGCTGGTACTGATGAAGACTAAGTAAGCAGCAACTGCTGAGGCTCAGGCTGAAATGTATCTAAGGTGTGGACTGCAAACTCTTGTTTGGAATTTTTCAACCGATTTCAGTGAAACACTGTTAGTTTTCAGGTGACAAAATACTTTTTGAAGATTGTCCTGGTCCTTGCCATTTAACATAATTTAAACAATCAATGCATATGGACAATAGAAACAGCATTTGCAAGGCAACTTAAAATGGCTTCTGTCCCATCCCTATCCCAAAGGTGCACATGTAAGACTAGATCATGTATGAACATAAAGAGTGAAATCCTTACCTGCCCTCCTTTAGGCTGGTATTTGATGTTATCCGTTGATCCAATTTTGGACCTGACGTTCTTGAGGTCAGGTAGAGGCTGATTAATAACTCGTAGCTGCTTTGGAGTGGCTGGAGATTTAGGAGGAGTGCGAATTATGGCAACTTTTTTCTCAGTAGGTACCAGTATGGCAGATTTGGGGGTCCCAGGAGTGTGTGGGGTTCTGGAATAGCTGGGTGTCCCTGGAGTGCCCGGGGTACGGGAGGCATAGCTTGGTGGTGTCCCTGGAGTGATGGCAGTGGAGCCAGGAGTAGTGGGGGTAGAGGTTCCACTTTTTCCTGTTCTGCTACGAATTGGCTCTGATCCTACACACAAGATAAAACCCAGTGTTAGACCCACAGAAATACAGCTCGTCTTCCTCCTGTACCTCCCAAGCCTGCGCCCCCGTGTGCCAAGCACGGCACAGCTCTAAGATGGCTGTGCCCTGTGCAAAGATCGACTTCCCTTGTGGGGAAAGTACCTTAGAATCAAACCTCTGGGACTTGATCTGACAACCTGACTAGCCAGTAAGAATGCTGTCACCAACTTCAATGGATTTGGCATTACACAAGAGAGTGGGAAAAATCCTGATCATAAGGCTCTGAGTGCCTGGCTGCTGCTGGTCACACAGCCCTGCTGGTAACCTGGCGTCTGCAGCTGAGCCCTGGGTGAGCTATGAACAAGTCACAGCTCTGTTGTGTGGATGGGCACATGTCCCTCACATTCAATTGCTATTTTTCATTAGTGCAGTGAAAGAAAGCAATTACAGAAGGCAACCTTGATTGCAAATCACATTCTAGTTATATCTGCATGCAAGTTAAAAAATAAATAAAAATAGTAACATTTTATAGCAGCTCCATTTGTTTATGGCATTGCCAGTCCTTTTTGCTGAGCACAAGGATCAGTTTAGAGGTGGCACTGCTTTCTGCAGCCAGCTCTGCTTCTAAACCTCAAATGCACACAAAGAGAAGCTGAGATATCTCCATATGCTGCTTAAAGAAATTGCTGAGAATACTCAGGGACAGAAAGACCAAAACACCCCCCAGAGCCTGGGAACCCAAATGCTGAATGGGTGCAGGTGTTTCTACCTTTAAAACATTCAAGAATTATAAACTCGATGGGCTCCTCTAGAACATTCAGTGGGACTAATCAAAATCTTATTTAAAGTATTTGCTAGTCATTCTGTTTATGTAATGGTGGTGGACCAAACTCAACGCATTGCTGCTCCTGGGGTCCAGGAGAAATTCTGCTCTACATCACTCATTAGATCGACTGAACATACTCTACTCTCACCTTCAGTTTCTCTGAACAGTTTCTTTCTTTCTAAAGCAACCCTAAAGAACTAGAACCTTCTCAGTACACCAACAGAGACAGAAAGGGAGTTACTTTTTTCCCAGCTCCCTGCAGCTTTGATGTATTTATTTTTCATTCCTCAGCCCTTCACCACACTGGCAAATGCTCAATGGCCTCTCGCTCCCAGTCAGCAGAATAGGCTGCTGTGCCACCTGGGGGTCACTCTGCTTACAGAAGGTCTCTGTTTTATCCTTGGAGCATCACACAAGAATTTCAAAGGAATTTTTGGTAGAATTTAATGTTCTATTTCACTTAAGCTGTCTTAAATAGGGCTGAGATTGGTTTCTGAAGAGAGAAACCAGAGGAGTTTCTATTGGAAAGCAGGGAGCCACATCCAGGTTATGAAGGCCTGGGCTGAATGCAAATCTAGCTAAAAGTTCTGGTGGTATTTAGTAGAATTCTCTTTGTCCTGTAATTTCTTTTGGCTTGTGATTTGATAACATTGGTCCCATAAAAGGACCTGGTTGGTTTATGCTCCTTAATTCCCTCAGCAAGTCACCCCACTAACATCGCAATTCTCAGCAGAGTTTTTACACTAGGATTAGAGCACAGGAAGATTGTTACTGCGAAACAACAACTTAATGACTATAACTATTAGATTTGCTTTTCCAAGATCTATCAGAATATTTTATGTTGCCTGCTTCAGGTTTGCCTCATTTTCTTGCTGCTGTTTGTAAACACCCTGTGTCAAATACCTCACCCAGCTGTGAACTCCCTGCAAAGGCATTTTCTGCTATCAGTGACGAGTCCCAGGAGCAGCCCTAGCTCTGGGCATTGTGGAGGATGAAAAGGATGCACCCTGTTCCTGGTTTCAAGCCCTTGCTCCTCAGCCCTTGGTATCTGAACAAAACCAGCCTGTGGGACTGATGTCCAACAGCACAGTCCAGGCCTGCCCCTCTGTGTAAAAGATAGGGCCACACGATGCTCCGGCAATGTGACAAATTCCACAAGGATGGGAGACACCCACAGCACTAGGACAGGGTTAATCCACAAAAAACATACGGGTGGTCCGTCGTACTGAAGAGGAAAGAGAAGCTGTGAGGGAGAGAGAGCTCTCCTCTCTGTCGCGGTCTCCTGAGACACCTCTCCGAGGAGGAAGGATAGAGGAAGGTCTTGGTAGCGAGGAACGCTTTTCAGGACTCTTGCTTACTCCATCCTAATAGCAGCAAAACAACAAAGGAAAGCTTAATTTTCAAAACTCACTCTCTGGGCTGTGATTTGTTTCAACATGTACACAGAAGGGGAAACCTCACCCTATGGGGCCTGTTTCCTACTTGCACACGAGCCTGTGGGGATCCATCCACCTCCCCTGCTCTGCTTAGCTCCCTGGTGCTGCTTTATTGCAGCAAAAATCCCAACAGTTAGCTTCTGAGCTACTTTACAGACACAGATACTCTCGCATCTAAATATGGATGGGTTCCACATTTGGTTCTTAACAAGGAACAAGTTTATTAGAGCGAGTTAGAAGCATAAGAATTCTCTGAAGCTCAGGTGTGAAGCTCTTAACGTGAATTTACTTGCAAAGTAACTGCAGTAGTGCCCAGAATACACCCCACACTACATTGTTAGGTGAGGTGTGATTTTTCCATTTTCAGACACTAACTTGTAATAATTTTAGAGAGAAAAATTTTTTGCTACAGCCTTTTGAGTGAAGGATTATTACTCCTGGTGTCTTATTTCCCACCATACAGATCTTTTTACATTTTGAAATCAGCAGATATCTTCTTTATACCATGGTTAGAGCAGGGGACACATATGTTGGATTATTTTTGAACTTATGAGATGGGCAGCCAAAGACAGTGTTGCATAAGCAGATAGTCCTCCCAAAGACAAATGTGGTGATGGTCCCAGGCAATGAAAGACACACCAAGCATAGTGTGACACAGAAAATGGAAATCAATAGTGAGAACAGCTTTTGAATGGGGATGGTCATCTACTCAGCAGCAAGTAGATTTGAAGCACAAATGAAATGTAAACACAGAGAAGCTAAGATGGACTGCCAAACATCTCTTATAGTTTATACCACAACTTCTTCAGCACGGCCCCATGCATAGACCAAATTTGCTTCCTACAGCATCTAGCTTCTACCCTTATTGCTGGTGATTAGAACTGTGCCCTCCTACACTAGGGACTGAATTTGTTTTCACAGAATATTAAGTGGTTGAAAATTACTTTTTTTTAAACTTGGAAGGCAACTTAGTACTGCTGTTCTTTGTCACTTACCCACGTGCAAATGGGTGCAACTTATTAACTGTCAATGAAGCAGCATCCGTATGATCAACAGAAATGTCCTTCTAGTTATAACTTATTTCACTTTTCCTCTGGAGAATCTCCTTCATTTTTATCCATTCTGTACCACAAACCTTGTAGCCTGATAATCAGTTTTCTGGCCACTGGATGTAAGTAACCCCACGTAAGCTTCGCACAGAACTACTCGAATTCAGTGGGTAGAGAGTGTGATCCATGGAGTTCACCTACAATCTCCGAGCTAACTCTTTCTACCAACTCTGCTACCTTACCTTAGCATCTGATTTTGAGTAGGGCAAGCAGTCTCTTGGGCCTGCTGAGGAGGGCCGCACAGAGTAACTGTCTGAATCGAGAAAAGTGGCCCTTTTAGTAGTTAATGAGCAAGCTGAGCTGGGTCTTGGAGGAAGCAATGACTTTGCTCTAGACTTTGAGGCAGGAATCTTTGACAAAGAGGCAGTCTAGTCATGAGAAAACAAACAAAAGAAAACACAACATGAAGCCGGACAAAAGGAAAATACATGCAACATGGATCAAAAAAGAAAAAAAGCCAAGCTATGAATGAACACTTCTCCTGTGTCTGATAAGGGTGTCCATGCAGTTCTGACATGCATGGAAGTTTCAGTTCTGTGTTGTTTGACTGAAACCATCAGGCTCTGGACACAGTTACTGATTCTAGGAAGTGCTTTTTTCTGCAGATGTTACTTTTATTGTGTGTTAACAGGACACAACTGGTGGCAGGTATGGCATTTAACTGGTACAAGTGCTGGCTGGTTGCATCAGAAGCAAGTGCAAAACTACAGGACCACCAAGAGATTTTGGTCCTTTAAAACCAAGTTGTGCATTTGAAATACAAGCCTCCAGGCTACAGACAGGAATAAAACAGTGGGAAAGTTAGAAGCCAAGTTACCCCAGTTTTCCTACAATGGCAGAAGGGTAAGACAGCATTGCTTCTTGTGCCCCTGTATCCACACAAAATGCCTAGTGCACCCCAAACACTGTGTTCTGTGCATTTGGCGTCTCTCTATAGAAATTCTTAAATGTATGCTGATGATGTGGCATCCTGGGATGAGGAAACCTGTGTATGGTAGAAAGGCTGACATGATATGTCATTGTTATCAGATACTTGTGTCTGATTCTGAATAATGATAATACCCCATTGAAAGAACAATTAAACACCAATAGGACAGAGTGAAAATTCTTTTTTGACACTTGGGAGCATCTAACTACTTTGCAAAAAAAGAATTTCCCTGAAAGACAATTGGGCTACTTGCTTAAGCAACATTTTTTTTTTCTCCCATGTTTATAACTGACACTACAAATAACAATTGCTGCTATCTTGGCAATGTAATCCTGATTCTCTCTATTCACAGCAGCATAAAGTTACGCATAGAAGCAATCCCAGTGGGTGTGTAATTATGGGATCTGGTATAGAACTTTGGCCATGAAAAAGTAACACTTGATCATGTGGCACTTGATCTAAGTCAGTCACCTCGACTTTCTCAATGTGCAGAAAAGGTGCACAAGCTACTCCTTTAGTTGTCTTTATCAGCAAAGGAGAAAAGAATGGCTTGTCCAGCACTGACAGGGGTCTGGCTTAGGCTATATACCTAGCCTACAGAAACTGAGCCTGGCCTGCTAGATGTCATCCATGACATCATCAACATGATTAAGAGTTACAGAACTGTGTAACAAACAATTCCAGTCCTACAACACAACTGAGAGGACTTCTATTGGATAGCATTAGCCATACCAAGTAGCAAGACAAGAAATTAGTTCATAGGATAGAAGTGCTTTACTGGAAGAATATATTCCTAGAATGATTTTTGCAACATATTTATGCCTCTTTTTATTTTTTTGGTAATACTTATTTTGCTGAGAATAAACAGAATAAAATTGGTGAATAATTATTTTACACAAACTTCACAAGACGTGTTTCTGTCACATCAGAAGCTTTTCCACTGATTTGTCATAGTTCAATTTATGGGTTGTGAAACTTCACTTGTGAAACTTCAGGCCATATTTACAAATACAATATAATTCAGAGACCTAATCCTTTTCTCTTGTGTTGCATGCAGTGTCCTCTGTGAATATGTGCATCTAACAGGGATGCTAAAGATGGACAAGACTGTGCTTTACCCAGAAAACTGTTCTTATTCTCTGTCAGCAGTACATTACCTTTGACCTCTGTTATAATTCACATTGCTGGAAGTGTCAGCTCTCCACAGGACAAAGATCTACGTGACTCTGACTAAGACTCGGGGATTGCTGAAGTTGGGATGCAGAAACATCACTGCATTTCAGAGGTGTTCCTAAAGTTAGCACGACAGATGTTCTCATCACCTCACTACCGCAGGTACACAGCTCCTTCCAGCAGATGGAACTGCTTAGCCTTTCCTGGACCTGTTCTGCAAAGCAGTAAGCTGTAGTTTGAAGATGGATAACAAAACTAACTAGGTTGGATGATCTATCATTACCAGTGGAGAGGAAAAGGCTGCACTTGAAGGACATAAAAGCTGGAAATCAGGAAGAAATACAAAAACAAAAGAGGGAGAGGTCTTTATAAAAGCAGAGGTGAAGACGAGGCACGAAAGGGAAAATGCCCAAGAGCTGTGTGACTGTGGCAACAGGGAGAGAAAGTGAGCAAGGGACACACTTCTCATCTTTGATGTTACATAAGGGACAGGAATAAGAAAGGTGTGGAGAAAGCAGATAATTTCAGAGAATGATTTTGCAGTGCTGGTGTTTAGAGTACACTGTGGACACAGATGACTCTGAAAATGGGCTAGTAATGACTCCTCTTGTGCAAGCGTTGATCATCCCCCAAGAAAAGACAGTAATAAATGGTACTGCTGATCCCAACCAGAAACCTGTCCAGACATTTCTTACTGTACTAGTTACTGTAAAGAAGCTCTAGCAGTTGTGAGCTGAAATGGGTCAGACTCGAAAAACCATCAGATCCCAGAATCCACATCTGAATTCAGGTCTAAATTTCTCAGCTCCTCCAAAGCCTCCAATCAATTATACATCTATCATCGTTAGCAATTCCTTACGATTCATAAATAATGTGTAGCACTTTATGAGACAGAGCTTTTTGTTCCCCAGAGAATTGACAATTTGGTTAGAAAGATGACAAAAATCAGCTGTGGAACATCTTAGGAAATTTAGAGGAATCCTGAGGAACTCCTCCCTTGTTAATGACAGCTAACAATGTCAAAGCATTGCAGTGCTGCAGATGTGAATTAGCATGTGTCAGTGTCATGTAAAAAACAGCTGGGATGGTGAAAGGTTGGTTGCCTGGGGGTTTTGGAGTGGTGGGGCAGGAAGAGTGCAGGGTCAGCATGGGAGCAGGGTGGGGAGGCCCTGCAGCATTTGCTGAAGGAAACTCAGCAGAGGAGAGCCAGGCACAGGGAGCAGGACAGGCTGCAGGGCAGCTGAAGGCAGGGTATGTAACTGTCATGTTAAAACACAAACAGAAGTCAGCAGTCCAGAAAACAGACATTCAGAAAGCACTTAACTGCATATAAAATGCTACTGGCCAAGAAGTTCTACCCAGGCATGACCTCTGCAGCATGCATGGCTGTGTAATGGTGCCTCAGAAACCAACCGGTCAGTGCTAGGGGAGGGGTTCTGCCCGCAGAGCAACCCAGCAGGGCTGCAGGAAGGGCCAAGGTGCACGGCTTATCCCCGAGGATGACCTGGCTCAAAATGCTGACCACCACCCAGCTCCTGCAGCCTGGAGTCTGTGTGCCCCCTGTGGAGCTGCAAACTGTCATCATCTACCACCCGGGACTGTAATTCAGAGGTTGTTCAGAAGAGGTGGTTTTAATTACCCTTCTAAATGAATAATGAACATGGCAAACAAATTCCGAATGGAACACAAATTTTAAATGGAACACATAATTACTTACTACATTAACACAAAAAGATTTGAAATAAGGACAAAAGGAGATTATAAAGATGTATGATAAGATGATTTTACTCACTGAGAGTTTTTCCTTTGCTTGTTTAAATACACCAGGAGCCTGGTTTGTTTCACCACCTGCTGCTGAGAGATCCAAAGAAAGACTTCATCGTTAAAACCAATACTAATAAACATTTCCACTTCATACACTTGTTAGAACAATGAAATGCCTTGGAGCTACTGTGCAAAGCAATTACTTTGCGAATTACTCTCAGCGAACTGTATGCAGAAATGTGCCTGCCTTAAAAATGTTTTCTATTTATCAAACTTCAGATAAAATGGTGTTCTATACATTTCAAACAAATCAAAAGTTTGTATTCATCTACCTAGGAGTCTAGAAACCACAGTAAAAAGTTAAGAACTAGCTGACAGCTGTAAAAAGCTCTAGTTCTGAAAGCCAAACCTTGAAACCTTTGCATCCTGATTTTCGGGACTGTCTTCTAAAAATTAGGTTCCTTTAAGTAAACCATAGATGAAAGTTTCAAGAGAGGACCTTGAAATCACCACATTTCAAAGTACTAGCCAACATTCCTAATGGAAGAGAGAGATTCACTGTTGCATGATCACCCTAGCTGTGTCAAACAAGGTCAGTGTGCCATGGGTCGATCAAGCCCTCAAGCAATTCAAATTATATTTGGGACATCAAGTGTGTTAGTTCAGTGTTTGATTTATCCTTTACCTGATGCAACAGGGTTTGAGATAAGATTTTTCTCTCCAATCTAAGATTCCATCCTTATGAAAAGTTCTGGAATGAGGCAGTTTTTTGGAAAGCAGGTTACTAGTTTCACCCCAGCGCTGCTGCTCAGAAGTGATCTACCATGCTAAAACTAGATGTGAAATTTTTTTGGTATCTGTGTGAGGATGCCCTTGGTAAATGCAGAAGCAGGACAGCAGTCACAGAGGACAACCTTTTGCTGTAAACCTAACTGTCCTGCAACTGTGAAACCAACCTTAACACATCAAACAGCACAGGAAATATTAGTTTTGCCCTTTCCCTGTGCAGTTCCTCGGTGTGGTGAGGAGATGCTTAGATTTCTGCCACACTTCCCACTCAAATTCTGCCCTCAATATAATTTTTTTAAATAAATTAAAGGAGTAGGAGAGAAAACTTGTGAGGAGAAAAAGAATATATAGCTACATACTCGAGTTCTTCTGAATTTTTAACAGGGAAAAGTGCAGCACAGCCCTCCTGCATCACACTTTACCACACCTGCCACTGCTGGGTTTGGTCTGTTTTGCATCTCTTCTAAATAATCATAAATAGTGCTGTTCTTCCTTCCCTTGGTATTGAACCCTGGCAAGAATAGCTGTGCTCCTTGTGCTGACTTACCTGAGAGCATCACAACTTCTCCATCTGAACAAAAGATCTCTAAAGGCTCTGCTGCCAGTTTAAATACACAACAAACATGGTTTACCTCAGGGGGCCACCCCAGAACTGAAGACGTGTATCACAAAGTGACTTGTAAACCCTCCTCCGATGGCACAACTGCAGTGGTGTCTGCAGCCACAGCCACTAGCCCACCAGGAGTCACACTGGGGTTTCATCCACAGGACTATGCCAGGCAAGGCAACAACTTCATCACTCTTGCCCCAGAGTTGGCCATGCAGTTTCCTTTTCAAATGGGGAGGATGAGTGTCTTAAAAATCTGTCCCTCCCTCATGGATAGGGCACTGTAAGTGACCAGTACTTGACAGTGCTTACCAGTAACATGGCAATTTTTTTCTAGCGTTGAGGGGAAATATGGGAAACGTGATTCCCTAGGCCACTATGCAGAATATATGAGCAAATACTTTTTTTTGGCAGATTCTTGTATGTTATGACTAGACACATTTCATTTCAAAGTCACAGGAAATGCAACGTGGGGGTTTTAACTGACTGCAATACACTCAAGGCTGTAGAGACTACACTGCCAAGGTACTTTTGGTGAGGTTCCATTGGCCAGGTATCACTAAAGCTGACAGGACCATTCCGAACAGGACATACTAACAGTCAAAAATGGCTTCAAGAAATGGTGCTATGCCTTACATAAAAGGAAAATGGGAGTGAGACAGTGTCCCTTTAAATTCCAGATCCTGGAAGGAGCTGGGAGACTGGTTCAGGCTCAGGGACATGCAGGTTAACATATGGCCATCTACACTCTTCAGATATCACAGGATATCATTGCACTCTTTCTTGTGGCCTCCTCCCAAGTCCCATCAGTAAGTATAAAAAGGTGAGGTAGAAGACAAGGGATACTGTGAATTTTCTAGCAACAGAGCACATGGTGAAACATTCTAAGAGATACTTTTGTTCACTTTGTGGGGTGGTTCAAGCTCCTCTGCTTTAGAGCTCAAACCTCAAACTTCAACCCACATTACTGAAAAATTTATGATCAATCTGGGTCTGTAATTTTGGTTGCTGTCCATCGCAGGATTTAAATGTACTTGGAGGTCTTTTTTTATTGCATTTTTCCCTTTGACTAATATATCTGCTTCACTTTGTATTGGAGTGAGAGAGAAAGAGCTCTGACAGTTGCCAGGCAGCACACATTTAAGGCACTGGGCAGATCTCCTTATGCAAGTCTATTGGTATGACTCAGGCCTCTGTGGGACGCTATGGACCAGAAGAGCTCAGAGGAGTTAGTGGTAGAGTACCTGAGGGCAAGCCAGCACTGACCACATGGCTGTGGAAGTATAGATGAAGTTTAGAACACTACAAAACCAACACTTTTTTCCCCCATTTCCACTGCTTATTGAAGCCCCTGGGGCTTTTCAAAGAATATGTGAATTATGGGTCATAACTTCTGAGCTGCTCAAGATGTGCTTCAGCAAACAGCAAGAGGTAGCACAGAAGAGTTGTTTTAACCCATTTTAAAAATTCTTCACTCTTGGGTAGTTCTGGTCTAGAGTGCAAGTTAGGACAGCCCAGAGACTGCAAACTGAGGAGCCACCACTGCAACACAGAGGAGCCTGGACCAGGCTTTTATTCCCTGGCTCCATTTCTTGTGAGGGGAGGAAGTAAAAGGGAAAGATTCCCTCACAGGAGAAGGCAAAGGGACCGAGTAGTTCTGTTGTCCTAACGGAATACAACCAGGAGCTCATACATACTTCATTCAGTTGAGGACGATACTAAAGCTACCCTCACATAACTACCCTCTTACTGTACTTTCACTAGTCAGGCTTCTCTACTGAGACTGGTGTAAATTTAGAGCAAGAGTGACCAACTGGTGCAAAACTGTGCTGGAACAACTTCTTAGGAACACTTGGTACTGCCTCGTTTAACTACAGGACAGGTAATAAATCCTGTTCTTAATCTCTAAGCCCTGAGAAGAGGCCAATGTAGCTCTGCACTGCCGCACACGGTTCCTCTCTCGACAGCCCGGGTTTCACTCACACACAGCCCCGCTGCAGCAGGCGGCTTCGTTCTGGGGCAGAAGCCCTGGCCTCTTTTGGCAACTTTTTTTCCCTTTTTTTCAGATCACCAGAAAAGTCAAGACGTTCATCTTTCTACCCTGAACTCATGGTAAAAACAAATAATATGATGAAAATGCTGAAAGTGCTCTTTTTGGTTCTCTAAATAATACACCTATCAAGTTGTAACAGGAATCACTTGTTCCATCCTTTCATCTTCCTCTACAAAGTATTAAGATTTTTGCTTGGAATGCATTCGTAGTGTGAGCCCAGATTTCTTCTCTCTCAGCTTCATGCTGCATGTGGCTGGATTCCCCCTGTGGATTTTGACTGTACAGCATAAACATCAGTGACAGATTGGGAAGTGTCAATGCAGATAATGTCAATCAACAAAACATAAATCTGAAACACTTCTTATTATGCATGAGAGTAAAAAAGCAAAATAATGGAAATGCATACCATGGTTTAAGCTGTCAACATTTTCCCACCAGCAAAAAAAAAAAAGCGTAATTAAAAAAAAACCAAAAAACCAACAACAAACAAACCAAATCAAAACAACGAAATGATGAGTAGAGAATCCTACAACACCACACTATAAGCACGATGCCAAGTTACAACCACAGCACTTGGAGGTCCAAGCAATGACAAGCATAAATGATCATGGCTTCCATTAAATAAACAAACACCAGGAAAGAAAGAAAAGAAAAATGATACAACGCACTAAACAAGCAATACTATTTGTGAAGACTGATAGTCTTGGAGGAAAAGAAAAAAAAATAGAGAAGCTGCTATAGCCATGAGATATACAAAAAAAATGTCTATGTTTGCCAGCCACATTGCATAACTGAACAGAACGCAGTCACCTGTCTGCTTCCGTTTAACACAGGAGAGATGAGTTGGTCTAGTATATTTGATAGCAGGTTTTAAAATGATTTTCCTGGAGGGAGAGTGGGCCTGAACTTCAGTTTTTTTAGCAAGTTCAGCTTTCTTATACACTGCTATGGACAAAAAAATAAAAACAAAACAAACACAAAAACACAGAATCAGGAAAAACCCCAGCAAACAGTTTCATATGACAGTACATCAAGTGGCAGGCCCACTGCTCCACAACTCCAACCCCATGTGTCGCTTCTGCTGAGCAGCTCCTGCGTGGGCAGAGGGGGAGCACTGGGGTGTCACCCTCGGGCGTGTCCCCCCGCCAGCAGGGGGGGCCTGCAAGGGAACGGGACCGGTGGAGCAGTGAGCCTTGCACGTTTTCAAATAGTTTTCAAACAGTCGTACAGCATCTCATTAAAAAGCACTATCATTAATACTGTTAAGGTGCACATCATCTACAACAGAGTAACCAGATAGTACTGTACAATAGTTAAAAAAAAATTAAAAAGAAAAAAGAAAAAGAAAAAGATATATTGTAATAGGGAGTGTTAAATGAACCTTTTTTCCTTCTCACTTCATCTCTGGAGAGTGTGCTAGGTTCCTTTTTAGCTATTTTCCTTTCAGGAGTGGAAATCCTGCCTCTCCCAGTTTTAAAAGGTTTCTCTTTTTTATGCTTATCGAGAGATGATCTTCGCAATTCTCTCTCTGCCTTCTCCTCTTTAGGAACAGTCTCTAACTGTTCAGTCATGATGCTCCTATCATCATCTGTAGAATCAGAGCAAATTATAACAACAAACAAAAGATTAGTAACACATGTTAATACTGCCATGGAGCAGGGAAAAAATAACTGAAGACAGAGCAGACGGATTAATTAAAAAAAAAAGGCAGACTATTTTACTATTTTTCTGAAACATGCTGAGATTACTATTACAACTATAATAATTTTGCTTTTTGATCATTATGATTTGGAAGCAAAAAAATTTAACAGACAAAACAGAAAGGATAATGCACACCTTGAGTATCAGCCCAGAGACTGTCTGTGTCCATGACGGAGTCATCGATTGTTGTTTCATCTTTGTAATCATCACACGTCTCTGTCTTGTAGTCGGTGAGCAAGTCTCTCTGCGGTGAAGCAGGAGCTTCTGGGGAGCCCTCCTTGGGCTCAACGTGAACGTCAGCCACTTCCTCGACCTCCAGCTCCTCTTCAGCCTGGGAGTCCCCTGTTTCAATGTCTTCCTGCTGAGCAGCAGCAAAGCGCACACTGTGAGAAGCAGATTCACCCTCATCAACTGTTGTCTGCACCACTGTGATAAAGTCATCCTCTACTGTCACCACGGATTCAATAATGCCTTTCAGTTCAGGCACTGCTTCTGGGCTACCCTTGACTAGCATTTCTTCAACGATAGGTTTGCCAAAGTCTAGCTCTGCGGGCATTTCTGGCATAAAACGCAGTTTACCCTCTTCTTTTTCTTCTTGCCCTACTTCTAGCTCTTCTTCCTCATGTTCTTCCCCTTTTGTGGCTCCAGCTGTCGCTTCACATGGCAGCATCTTTTCAGTTTCCATAGGTTTCACAGCTCTATCAGGAATCTTTTCAGTTTCTTCTGCAGGCTGTGGTATGCTCTCCATCTGAATCTCAGCAGGCTCTTCCTGGAGGGGCTCAGCTTTTGGAAGGAGCTCCACAGAAGGCTCCTTTGCTGGCAGCGGTGCAGGCATTTCTTCCCCAGACACAGGAGGTTTTGGAGGTTCTGTCTTGATATCCTCTGGTTTCAGGGATTCTCCATTCAAACTTTCTTGGGCTTGATCATGCTCTCCACTAGATTCGTAAGATTCCTCTTTATCAACTGCCTCTTGATGTACCAGATCAGGCTTAGTTACTTTTTCCTTAATTTCAGTTTCTGACAGTTTGATGCTGTCCTTCACGTAACTAGGCTCGGTCTTGGAAAGTACATCTGCATCCTTTGCTTCTCTGGACAAGACGGTCTGATCTTTCTGTTGAGTGTCTTTGAGTTCAGGCTCTGCTCTTTTAATGGAGGCTTTGTCCTTCCCTGAAGGGATAGTAACAACCTCATTGATCCTAGCATCTAACTGACTCTTGTATTCTTGGTCAGCTCTCCTGGCAGCCACTTCCATATCATGCTTTATAGCATTGTAATCTGGTTTAATTACAGTTTCTATCTCAGCCATTTCAGGAACAACACTCAGAGTTTTTTCCTCTTTCTCCATCGACAAGGAAACATCCTTTTCTATGGCCATGTCTGAAGCTGATATTCTGCCATACAAGGTATCATCAGTTAGATGAACTTTATCAGCCATACTTTCTTCTTTCATTTCGAAGATTGCCTCAGGTCTTGTTTTCTCTGGCTCTGCACCTTTAATGGCATAGAAATCTTTAGAGTCAACTTGATCTTCATTTTTTTCTAGCACAGCATGCAGCTTCTCTTTTTTCTCCTGCTCAAAGTCCCTTGCCAGAATGGACTCACCAGTGGCATGCTGACCTAAGTCTTTTTCACTGAGGAATTCTCCCTTTGATTTTTCAGCTGCTGCCAACTTCACTTCTATTAAAGACAGGTCAGGAGCTAGGCCACGTCTCAGTTTTTCATCTGTGCCTTCATAAAAGGGACAGGTTTCACTCGTTAAATTCTCACTGTCCTGAACTGGAGAAGGGAGTGGGACTGTGTACTTATTGAAAACACAGTAGCCCAAATCTTCTAGCTGACTTTCAGCTTTTAGAGTTACGTGGTTTTCGTCCGTCACAGGTGGCAGGGCTGTGCCGCTGTCTTCCACAACCACGTCAGAAGGAACTGACTTCTTCTGCGCCACCTCAGCATCTGCGCTCACAGAAGCTAATCTAGATCTTGTCCCTGCTAAGTCTAACATTTCAGGCAGGTCAGGAGCCAGGACAGCCCCATTTTTGTAATAATCTTTGGCCAGGAAAGGTGATTCGGGCAAGGTCTCAGGCTGGACTTTTTCTTCTGCCATTGCTTTTTCTTCTTCAATGTGCTCATCTTCTTCTCTGCTATCAATGGGGAAGCAGGGGGCCTTCTCCAGCGCCGGCGTGGTTGCTGGCAAGTAGTCATCACCTTCATCCATACTGCCACTAGTGTTAGTTAGAATATCCGAAGCGAGAGGAGAAAGGTCATGTGCACGACCAAAGCTAAATCCTAGAGCTATTGAATCCAGGCAGGACATGGGCAAGTTAATAGACATGCTTCTTTGTTCAATTGCAGATCTCCCTCCAAGTCCCAGGCTCCTGCTCAGAGTTAGGTCATCTTTATTTTTACTGTGGAGTTCTCTCTTATCCCCATAGACTTTGGGGTCAATAGTGAACATTCTTTCTGTTGGGGAACTTGATTCTTCAGATTTGTCTGGTGTATAGCTCTGAGCCAGGGTACTGTACCCTATTTCATGAGCAGGCACACCCTGATGCCGATCCAATTCTGGCTGAAATTCTTCCTCCTCTTCCTCTTTGTCTTCAGGTATTAGATGACCCGTCTGATAAGGCTCATACACACTCTCTTTAGTGTCACTTAGCTCATAGTAATCACTGCCTTGTTTCAGAGCATCTGCTTTGAAGGCTTCCTCTTTCAGAGCAGAGGTTTCAAAATACTTTGACATTCCTGAGCGATCCTCCTCTTCCTTCATTTGATGAGGAGCTGGAACACTTGTCTTATCCTCCTTGGTATCTTTTTTAACATCTTTCTCTTGAGAAGCTTCTAGAGTAGAAGGCTTGTCAGTGGTTAAACTGGATGCCTCAGGGGCTTTCTCTGCTAATCTGGAAAACTGACTGGTATCAGGGTGCTCTACTGTTTTCGCAGGGGTCATTTCATGGCTTAATGTGCCTGGGGGTACTGGTGGGCTTGGCTGCACCTCCTTTTTCTTGTCTACTGTTGTTGGGAGCCCACTCTGGTCCATTTCTTTTTCTGCTTTGGGCATATCAGGTGACTTTTTAGTTTCATCATCCTTTTGAAGGTCTGTTTTGTCTTGGGAAAGTGTCTTAACTTCAGGCTTTGCAGTAAATTTACCATCATCTAATATTCGAGCCTCCCCCTTATCATAGAAGTCATACCTTTCTTCCTCATCACTCTCATCCTTGGTCATGTCCTTTTCCTCTCCCCACGTAGGGATCTTCTGAGTGCTTGGTGTTTTCAGACCATCTACAGTTACCTCTGAGACTTCTTGCAGAGCTAGGGCCCTGCCTCTCTGCATCTGTTCATCTTTAGTGAGATCTTTGGCAAACAGTTGGTCAGGGAGTTCCCGTTTTGTTTGGAAACTGTCTTTGAGTGGAAGATCCTGGGAGACAGCAGGAGATGGGCCTGAAGGAAGTTCACTTTTGGCTGCCTTGGGTTCCGATAGCAATAGAGAACTTTCACCATGGCTGATAGCAAGATCTTGGACATCTTTAAGGTCATCTTTTAATTTCATAGACATAACTTGGCTAGATGATGAGGGCACATCTGCAGTCCTTTCTTCTGTTTTGCTCCCTTTAGGCAGTTCAGATAACAAGTCCTTTTGTTCCTGAGGAGCAGGAGGCTTGGCAGCAGGTTCTGCAAAACCGCCTTCCTCTTTCTTTTGTGAATCAGTTTCCAAGAGCTGTTCTGATAGAGGTGAAGGCTTTTTTTCTTTGTCTTTGCTCTGTGAATCTGTTTTGTCTATAGCCTCTGTTTTTGCTGGCTGTGGAACTAAGGCATCATGTTTAGGTTGCTCACCAGTCTTACTGTCTTTCCCAGATTCATGTTGCTTTGTGTCTAATGGTTCTGCTGCGAAAGGGCGTGCGCCCTCCTGGACACGGAATTCCATCTTCGTGGCTGTAAGTAAATCTGAAGTAGTTTGTTTGGGTTTTATAACAAAATCACTTACAGGCAGGCAGTCATGTGGCTTACAACAACATCTTGGTATGAACGATGGAAAGGAGAGGGAGAAAGATGCAAACATGCAGCAAGGCCATCCACCTAGAAATCTGCTTTGAAGTGTTAAACACCAGTCTCCTTTCACTATATGAGGGATTATAGTGAAAATGTGAGTTGTATACATAAAAATGTGTGACAACTGAAATGAGATGGTTTCATGTGAATTCTTCATCACCATGGTTTGTACACAAGAGCAAAACCACAAGTAATCCTCACTTCATTGGTATGATTTGCTGTACTCTGTAGCTTACGTTAGTTTTGTGTTAGTAAAGTCTGCAAGATTAACTCCAATTAATAGTATCTTTGTGTGTTGCTGACACAACATAGTTACTCATTTTTGTATCTTTTTTTTATGTTTTTCTTCTATATGCAGCCTAATCTAAAGAAATAATACATGTAAAAGGCTTCACAAGTGTCAGAAGAGGCTGTTTTTTAAGTTCTACCAACTTTTGACATTCATTCTTCGGCAAATGACAAAAATCTCACAGCTGTCACAGGACTGCTAAGTGTAAATCAGCAACAGAGCTGTTAATAGTCCCAGATCTTGCAGGTCTGGTCTTCAAAATGGCCAGCCATCTGCAGCTGTAACTGAAGTCAAAGAACACTTGGCACATTTCAACGGCTGTAGCTCAAGCCCTAATTAAGTTAATTTGAAATGACAAATGCTACTCTTACAGTCTGTCACTACATTTTTAGGGAGTAGTACCTTGTTAGGTTTTTTTTTCATACACAGTGTTAATCATTAATAGCTTCTTATTTTTTGATATTCTACAGAAAATAATTATTCCTATCATACAGAAATCTTCCTATCTTGGAAAATACAAAGAGAGATACTGCAGAATGTGGCAAAACTTCCTGCAGTAATCTGTAAAAAAAGTTTCATGATTTTTTTCTAAAGATTGTTACAAGCATTGGGCCAGCTCTGAATCTCATACCTGATTTCAAGTCCATGGAGCCATCTTTTTGCTCTGATGAAAGTGAATTTTTTAGAAGAATTAGTATCAAAGTATTGGTCATTCTTTAAATACTTGCATACATTAACATTTAGTCAAAAAAGCATCTGCCATTCTAAACTCTACGGGTATAAAACCCAGAGGTCTACAACTACAGTGACTTTGCTCCTTTCTGTTTTTACTTCTGCTGACTTACTTGCAAATCCTATGAACTATAAAAACAATGGTCATTGAGCTGACATCGTCCTTGTTTCACAGAAATTAAAGAGATAGATACTGATTTTCTTTATTTATCCTGCTGTGTTTCTTACTACAGGGCAAATTGACAGCACCGATGGCATCAAAACATATTCTGACTGCCAAAGTTAATATTCTTTAGCTGGGCCAGCCAGAAGACCACCCTCCCAATTGCTGCATTCTTAGCCAGGCAGTGAAAGGGTACATCACTACTCCGCACAGTATGCCTTTACACCTTGTTGCACTGGCTGAAGAGAAATACCATTCAAAGGAAAATCCTGAAGCCTAGTTCTGATTGCAGTAAATGTTTTGTTCAGTAAGCAGATCAGAACTTCAGCCTGTGCACCCAAGCCTAAACTTCACTATGAAGGCAAACATCCCAGTGGAAGTGATGGAGGTTTTGCCTTAGAAGGGCATTCCAGCAGGGTTACACATTTGTAGTAAGGTGAGACACACAAAAAATCAGAGTTCTGGCAATGACTGAGAGGAAGAGTGGACTGCAATGAATGACAAGGATATGCCATAAGAAGCGATAGCTTTAGGGAAGCTAAACCAGAATGCATTGAAGCACACACACACACACAAATTAAAAAAAAAGGCAAAAAACCTGCACACTGCAAATGAAAACATTTCTACAGTTTAAGCCTCTTTATGTCACAGTCAAAGTCAATAAATCCACTTTTTGAAAGAAAAGCAGATGAATCTCTGCACCAAAAAGAAAAACTATACATAGATTAGCAATGTGACTGGCAAACACATCTGAGATGGGGGAAAAAGGCTTACGCAGAGGAATCAGCTTAGCTGCAAAGCATATTTTATCATGGCAAAGTAAAAAATCAGGAATCAGCCGCAGTGGTGGGAAACCATGTTGTCATACAGCACCTATGCAACCATATTATCTGCTACACACTCTTCAAGCATAATAACAAGAGCAGTCATACTAATAAATGGAAAGAACAGGAAATGAAGCAGCCTTGGAAAGCACTGGAGAAAGCTGGCAGAGGATTCACCAGCAGCAGACACATGCAAACCTAAGGAGGACACACCTTCCTCAGCCAAGGAAGGAGGTGTGTCTCTCAGGGGTGTTCCCGCCACAACGGTTACACTCTCCCTGCGGGGTGCCACACCTGGCACTTTGTCTTCATGACACACTTTGGCCTCCAAGTCCGAATCCGACTGACCCTCACAGAGGCCCTTTGCCTGGTCCGAAGGCTCAATGGGCCCGTGCTCTTTCCCCAGTTGCTTCCCAGGAAGAGCAGCAGGTTTCGCTTCCACAGCCATCGGCCTCTCTACTGGCTCTTCTTCTTGGGGATGGAAAAAGGAGGCGACATCAACACCAACAGTAAACACCAAACACACAGCTCAACAGGACTCTTTCACATAACACTTTCAGCTCTGAACAGTTTGGATTTAGGCATGTCAAAGGACTGCTAGTACCGAGCCCATTTTAGTCACTGTGGAACTGAATTTTCCTTAGGGAAAAACACCAAACCAAACCAAACCAAACAATGTGTCTTTCCCCCAGAGAAGCATGTTTATGCTGTTAAGATGAGAGCTGAAAGTGTTTTACAGGTATACGTCTCCCAAAAGATGACTGTGGGTCAAATATTCATTGCAAATGGAGATGGTATTGAATGATGGATGGCTCTGACAACACCAATGCATCAACGACCTCAAGGTATACTGAAATTCTTCCGGTAAACGTGCTGTTTAATCTAGTACAAGACATTCAGCTGAGGTGGAGGAAGGTATGAGGCATTAATTTCTTTCCACTGACCTTGGGAATACTGGCTGCTAAACATTAGCAAGTCAATCAGTCACATGAATCCTGCATTTGGCAAAGTACTAAGCCACTTCCATAGTCTTAATAAGCCTTGTGCATGACTGATAACTGATGGTTTCACAAGAATTCAGCCAAGGTGCCTACAGTGAGCTGGTTTATAACAATTTCTTCATTAGGCTGCTTGACGCCTGAACTCTGCACGTGAAACTCACAGGTTTGTTTTCATTTTGTATCATTTTGTTTTCTGTTTCCATGAGGAGTCCTCAGGCTCCTCATCACCAGTTAAATGAAAAAAAACAGTAAGTGCAATATAACTATTTGTTCAGGAGAATTTCTAAAACACACTGGTCAGCCTATGGGCTGTTCAGATCAGTACTCCAGTGTCAAGGGCAGTCTTTACTCATGTCATGGCAGAAGAATGATGAGAAAAGTTCCCACTGTGAACTGTACTGATCATTGCTACTCAAACAGAATATTACTGTGCTTTATTAGTATCCTGTCTGATAAGAAGTCAGGATTGAGTGTGAAACCTTTGATTCGGCAACATACTTAAGCAGTGGACCAGCAGCCATGTTTCAGTCAACTTGATGACCTCCCTGGGTTTAAAGAGTGTCTCATGATTAAGGACTTTCCTGAATCAGACTTAGAACAAACTGGGTTTGAATCTGGACTTAGCTGCATCCCACCTCTTGGTATTAAAATAAAATCTCTTTACAAGGGCTTCATTTTTCTCCTGAGATTGGCCCGGTGAAAACCAGACAATCAACCATCCACTTCAGTTATGGCCCTGTGATTTAAGGAACACAAACACTATTTGAGGCTGAGAAAATATCACTATGTAAAATGATAATTACTACACATTATTAATAGCATAAAAATGTAATTAAGGTTAGATACTATATCTTAAATGAACAGAAGCCAGAAGATTCAGAATCAGAACCAGACCGATGCCTGAGTGTGATGGGGATATTTACACACAGGCAGACTGCAAAAGCAGCCTGGCAGAACAGTAGCTCTACAGCTACAAGAGGCCCTGACTTGAGTAAATGGCTTTACTTTTCCTGATTTTATGTAGTTCTGTATGTGCATCCCCTTCAATTCAATTTTTTTTTAAGGAAAGCTTCTCATTTTAGTCCGAGCAATTTCAGGTATACATCTCCATTTCCTGAGACACTTTACTTAATTCCGTATGACTAAAACTAGTTATTCACCAAAGCAGAAAGTTATCCCTGACTTAACAAAGGAATCCTATGGATTCCATTTGTGCAGCAGACTCTTTTATGCCAAGCATAAAAGCCAACTTACAAGTGGCACAAGTGAGGAGGGATGTTTCAGAATGCCTGTCTTTTTACTGATGACCCAGCTTATTTCCCTGTTGTTTTTTAACTTTTTTTTCCTTATAGATGTTCCCAGATCTTACACTTTCACCAGAGGTAGATGCATATGACTGAAAAGGAAGCTGGCCATGCATTAACCAATCCAGGAGTGCTCTAAGTACAGCTATAGGCACCCAGCTGTAGCATGACTACTCCTATGATCTTCTGTCTCCCCTAGCTTCAGGCAGATGTGATGACACGAACAATAGTAAATTATTAGCATTGATCTCTTTCTGGTGCTGTTGCAGTATTAGGTTATATTACTCTGTTAGTTCTGAACAATTCTGGTTTTCTTGAAATGGCCCAGTGAGTAATTTCAGGTATGCACCTCCATCTTCCCGAGACACAAACCTTCAGAGGATTCAGTACTGGTTTTGATTTTAGCTCCTGTGTCTCAAGATTAAGTTAGCCAAAGGCTGCGAGACGAAACATCACCTATTTCGCCTTGAAGAAGTCTGCATTCCTGTTAGTCACTAAAATAGATTCCTTCTTGATTCCTCAAAAGCTGTTTCACTTTTCTGTAACTCCCACTGATAAAACAACTTATTGAGATGTGCTCAG